GTGTCAATGCATGATCATTTGAACGCCTGTAATAAACTATCTGTCGATCGTATTAGTTTTCTGTTTCTTTTGGTTCAACCCTTTTGCTATATGGAACTCGTTTTGAGTGACATTTTCATTTAACATTTATGTCATTTTGTGTTCGGTAGTGATTATACTATTTGCATGTTTTTGTGCTCAGTTTCAAAATTTTGTTTTTTGAACAAATTATGTCAGAAAATTAATTGTGCAATTATAATGTTCAGAGTGGCGGATCAATTATTAATTGAAATTAAACAATCTGAAATTAAACGTTTAGATTTTTCAACAAGTATTTTATGTATTTGATGATTAATATTCAATTTTTCAAGTATTTTCAAGTGTTTCAATTATTTTCAAGTATTTTCAAGTAGATTCAATTATTGTCAAGTAGTTTCAATTATTTTCAAGTAGGTTCAATTATTTTCAATTATTTTCAAGTATTTTCAATTATTTCCAAGTATTTTCAGGTGTTTCAATTACTTTCAATTATTTTCTAGAGTTCTCAAGTATTTTCAATTATTATCAGGTCCTTCAATTCTTTTCAATTATTGTAGTTTAAAAACTTCAATTTTGGAATTCAAGAATTTTGAACGAAGAATTGAATATTCTCAAATAAGTTAAAATTGTGAATCGATGCCTAGTCGTTTCATAATTGAGGATTGATTTCCGATAACACAGTGAAAGGGTTAATAATCGATGAACCACGAAACACGTAGTACTACGGTCTAACGATAAACCTCTGTATTATAGTACACATATCGTGTTTTCGCGACGATTAGTGTTTCGATTGCATCGACCAGCGATGAACCACAAGTTTCATAATAATTTACACTACGAGTCTCACAATATGACACGCTTTAGGTTTGCGTTAATTTACAGTGATACGTGGTATATTACATGAACGTTTTCGTCGTACGAAATAGCACGTAGTACTACGTCGTTGCTGTTTATTAACATTCACTAATTTATAAATTTACTTAAACTTTGTAAAGTATATTGCAACTGAGAACTGTATTCTCTATGTATATTTTTAAAATTATTTTTTATTTAATCTACCCAGTATATGATCTCGACTACATATTTAATTTATGAAACAAAAATTCAAGAATATTTTAACAATGTTTTCTGAATAATTTTGCTAAATTTTTAAAAAGTCAACGTATAACAATTTACATACAAAAACAATTATTCTACCAATAGTCAAACAATTATATTTTTCAACTAACAATTTAATAATCAACTCACGAAATACTGTGACTGAATTAAATTCGAATAAAACAGTCAACAGAAATTTTTTTATGTAATGCAACAAATCGTGTTCCTCGATTACTAACCAAGAAACAATAACGTTCGACAGATAGTTTATAAAAAAAATCGATCCACCGCAAGTTATACACATCGACACATACTAAACTGCAGATCGACTTCTCGTCAGGCGAGCGTTTCACATATGTACAGAATTTTTCGATCAAACACATAAAAATCTTGATCGATCATCGTCCAATCGAGTTCTCGCATGTCTTTATTTTATTTTACAAAACGTTCACGTTTACAACGACACGTTTTATTTAGTTTCCTTTGCTCGTGATTACAGCTACACATACGTTAGTTTGCATATCTACTTAACTTACGCTATTAGTTAATGGATATTCCCTTGGCTCGCGTGTCACATTTTGTACCTCTCGGTTCTACGATTCTGTAAAAATATTACAAAGAGCCCTCTCCATTTTGAACTACCAGCTTCGTCGAGATATCCGGATCAGAATTTGGCTGCGGGTTCAGGCACAAACGATCCGAATTTATTCATTCCCCATCGATCTTTGGTAAATAAAAAACTATCTATCGTCTTGCTCGGATGAAATTGCGTATTTGCGGAAGAGAGTGTGACTCCATTTGCAATATTTTTTAAGTCACAAATTTTTATTTTAAATTAGGGATTATTTAGAAGTTTGCTGCTTTTGAAATTTAGTAATTTTTGGATTTTCAAATTTGGGAATTTAAAGTTTTAGGATTTGGAATTTTTGGTATTTATGGATTTACGAATTTTTCAATTTGGGAGTGTTTGAATTTTCAAATTAGAAATTTAGAAATTTTCATATTTTGAATTTTTACATTGAGAAATTTTAATCCTTTGAATTCTTAATCTTTCAAGTTTCTAAATTGAGAGATTTTCAAAGTGAAATATTTCCAGATTTTCAAATTTTGAAATTTACAAATTTTAGACATATAAGTGTTAATATCTTCAATTTAAATATTCAGAAATTTACAAATTTACTACCTTCAAATTTTCAAATTTGTAATCTTCCAAATTTTCAGTTTGACGAACCTAAAATTTGCATATTAAGTATATCTTCTGTCCCTCTCAATATATTGCCAATTCCAAGAAGGTTCCCCATCTATAATCCTACGAATGGCAATATAACAAGAGTCTGTAATAAATTGTCCTATTGATTCAGTAAAAAATTCTCCCACAAATTAATCATTCTAATAACTCAAAAATTGAGAAAATTAAAAACTTCAAATATTAAAGGTGATGAGACTTAACTTAAGTTAGATCCTATTAGGTTAGTTGATCAAACAAAATTGCCAAATAAACAAACCCCACAATAAATCTTGCAACCTCCCCAAAATTATCAACAACAAATTTCTTCAGCACTAAATTTTCCCAATGACGTCACACTTTCTTCCACCGTTTAACAATCACCAATATCTATATTCGACCAGCAAGACAGCGCGAAAAAGGTTCTACACTTTCGTCCAGCCGCTTGCCTGAACAATAAGACACTTAACAGTTGGACGATTCCCTCGCAACGGGAATCGATCAGCGTTTTTTTTTTCTATTTTATCAATTTCTCTCTTTTTTTACAATTTTCCCATTACGTTTGTTTGTTGAACGTTACGTGTGTGCGTGACGAACAGAATGACAGAGGGTAGTGGATCAGAAATGTGATCGTGATCTCGTGTAAAAAATATTCTCTTTTTTTATTTTTGTTCTCTTGGAGCCTTCGAGAGGAGCCCTTGTTTTTCCTTCGGAAGAAATAGAGAGTCGTGAGCGAAAGTGGAAAGACAGGGGACGAAAATCAGCCTCTTTAAGCGTGGTACCGACGAAATCACGCAGTTTGTTTCTCTCTTCTTTTTATTTGTTTCTTATGTTACGTGGTTTCCTTTTGCTCGTGAAAATGCAGTCGATGAAACTCGGGAACCAGGCCAGATTCTCGAATTATTTCGTTCGAAATCGTGGGTGTAACTCGATCACTTTTCATGAGTTTTTGGATTATTATTGATCTTGGATACTTAATTCATCAAATTTCAGGTATTTAAGATATTACAGTTTCAAGTCTAAATTTTAGGATTCCAATATTTCATCCATTTTAATTCTAATATTTTTCCAATACTATTTTAATATTCAAGTATTGACATTAATCCAGTATTCAAATTATTCCAATGTCAACTTTGAATGATTCAAATACAAATTATACAAAAATTCGTGTAATCAATTTATTCAAGTATTTAAATGTTTAAATTTCACATGTGAATTTCATCGCAATTCTAACAATTAATCTGTCAAAATTAATATCCGTCAACAATCAGAATTTCAAATTTGATCTGTCATCCAGGGGTGCAAATATCCTGGCTACACCCACGCACCATTCCAAAAGTTCTGAAAGCGAAAATTCAAATATTTTCGTGTATGTTTTTTTGTTACTTTCTTTTTTTAGAAAAGCCGTTCTCCAGCCTGTTCCCGCGAATTTTAGAATATCTGCCTTAGAGTATTGAAGATACAAAAACTACGATAGAAAACAGAACAGACTTCGAATACTTATATTTCATTTTTTTTTTTTGTCGTTTTTGTTTTTTGTTTGCCTCAACTTGTCTCCTCGCCTTTGAATTTTTCACATTAACACATCGACACGTCTTGTTATTTTTTTCATTTTTCATTTTTCGTTACATTATTATTACTATTTATTATTCATCTTATCTATCAGTATTATTGTTATCGTTAACCTCGCCCTTACACGTCTAATGCATATTGTTATTATAGTTAAATTCATTCAAGCTTACCAAGTAGTTAATCGTTAGGTTAATCGTATTATCAATAACGTTTCATCCCTCGATTTTCCCTTTGCCTTCTCTTCTTTTATATGTTCTTTATGATACAGATTGTCATGTACGGCGTCGGCCGTGAAATCGTTTCGAATACAACCTATTTTCTTCTCTTCGAAAATGGCGAACAATTATTTCCCGTGGCTAAATTACTTTCAACGCCACAAATCAATTCCGCCTCCTTACTCTTTAAATAGATATGAAATTTGTGCTCTTTTCTTGGATCTCACGCTGTCGATTCACCTTGCGTGAATTTTCTAATTGATCGGTTAAAAGTTTCGTCTCCACGAGTTGACCTTACTCGGCGACTCAACTCGAAACTTCGATGACTCTTTCGTTATTTATTGGACTATTCTATCCTACATCCAGTCTCTTTTCGTCAGTGAATCACATGATCGGAAGAAAAGTCTTCCCGAGGTTCACCGATTTTTCTACCGTTTTGACTATTGTTTTCCTCAAACTTCTCGCGCGATTTGAGAATAATCGTTTAACCCCAGTCGATTGCATCTCGGAGGTACGATCGACAAGTTCTTTCGAGAACATCCGATCAACCTTATTTGCGGTTGGAGTCTGTTTCTCAGGTACGTTTTAGTTCTCCCATTTTCCTGAAGACCACGTCCTCGGAAACTGGTTCGTCGCGTTACAGGATCTTCTACATTCCGCGATCGAAACTCTCCTGATTTCTCACGTTGTTTTGGTAAGCCTCCAAGTAGCTGTCCACGTTTCTGTACATTCCGGAGTTCGCTTGGTACATCAGTGTCTCCAGGATCGCCTTTGAATTTTTCACATTAACACATCGACACGTCTTGTTATTTTTTTCATTTTTCATTTTTCGTTACATTATTATTACTATTTATTATTCATCTTATCTATCAGTATTATTGTTATCGTTAACCTCGCCCTTACACGTCTAATGCATATTGTTATTATAGTTAAATTCATTCAAGCTTACCAAGTAGTTAATCGTTAGGTTAATCGTATTATCAATAACGTTTCATCCCTCGATTTTCCCTTTGCCTTCTCTTCTTTTATATGTTCTTTATGATACAGATTGTCATGTACGGCGTCGGCCGTGAAATCGTTTCGAATACAACCTATTTTCTTCTCTTCGAAAATGGCGAACAATTATTTCCCGTGGCTAAATTACTTTCAACGCCACAAATCAATTCCGCCTCCTTACTCTTTAAATAGATATGAAATTTGTGCTCTTTTCTTGGATCTCACGCTGTCGATTCACCTTGCGTGAATTTTCTAATTGATCGGTTAAAAGTTTCGTCTCCACGAGTTGACCTTACTCGGCGACTCAACTCGAAACTTCGATGACTCTTTCGTTATTTATTGGACTATTCTATCCTACATCCAGTCTCTTTTCGTCAGTGAATCACATGATCGGAAGAAAAGTCTTCCCGAGGTTCACCGATTTTTCTACCGTTTTGACTATTGTTTTCCTCAAACTTCTCGCGCGATTTGAGAATAATCGTTTAACCCCAGTCGATTGCATCTCGGAGGTACGATCGACAAGTTCTTTCGAGAACATCCGATCAACCTTATTTGCGGTTGGAGTCTGTTTCTCAGGTACGTTTTAGTTCTCCCATTTTCCTGAAGACCACGTCCTCGGAAACTGGTTCGTCGCGTTACAGGATCTTCTACATTCCGCGATCGAAACTCTCCTGATTTCTCACGTTGTTTTGGTAAGCCTCCAAGTAGCTGTCCACGTTTCTGTACATTCCGGAGTTCGCTTGGTACATCAGTGTCTCCAGGATCCTCTCGTTCTTTATCGCCTTTGATGGCAAAACGATCTGCAAAAGTTAATTTGATGATAAATTTTGTTCTTGCAATTTTATATATATTCTATTTTTGTTAGACTTAAATTATGCAAATTTTTGTATGTTCACAATGTATAAATTTTTTTATTGGTCAGCTGCGTTGGTCAGAATTAATCACTACAATATTAAAACAGATAAAGAAGGTTGATATTTTGTGTAAATTTATTACGTGGTTGTCTGTGCAAATTATTGGACTTGAATTCCGAATCAATGTATTCAAAATTTTAGTAGAAATGATCATAGCTGAAGTGCATCACGGGTGCGTCATAAGTGTGTCACGAGTGATTCATATGTATGTCGAGTGCGTCATGAGTGCGTCAGGCTCGTCAAAATAGTACAAGAGGTTAATATAAGCTGAATTAGATTATTTTAAAGCAAATAAATTTCATTTCACATTATATTAAATGTAATAGTTCGATGACATATTAAATTATATTAAAGAAATAATAAGTAATTTAGATTTTATCCAAAAATAATCTACACAATAATTCCATATGATGGACCTAATATAATTTTAAAATATAATTAACAATTTAGAGTGCATCCAGAAGTCCAGAATAGAATCTGTACAGCTAAATCAGCGGCCTTACCCTGATAAGTTCCTGAGGAGTTATTCTATACAACTTCAGATCTCTACAAAGTCTCTCCATGATGCAAGTGAACTCAGACTTTGCATTCTCCTTGGTCGTCTTCGTCTTTATCCTATGATTCGCCCAGTTCAACATGGCCTCGAATTTCTTGATCTCGCCGACCTCTAGATTCCTGCACATGATCATCTGCACCATGGACTCGCTCAAGGTCAAGAAACCGGGGTTCTGGAACACTTGATACGCCCTGGTCTCGATGAACGCGAGGATCATGTTGACCAGCTCCGAGGCGGACGTGTAACGCCAACAATAATTCTCCAGAGCACAGAGCATCACGCAGACGATCTCGATCCGCAGGAACTGTTTCGCGTGATGGAAACACGCTTGAAGGAGCTCGGGAAGGTCGTAGTGTTCCGCGGCGCAGATCAAGCCGGGAATGTTGCTGCAGGTTAACGGACAGGAACCTGTGTGCAGGTAGTCCAGGAGGATCCTGAAGGTTTCTGGATCGAACTCGATGATGTCGAACTGTAAATAGACGGAGAATGTTAGGGGGTTCAAAATAAAAGAAGGGTTGGAAGTAAATCGAGGAACTTTTCTACCTTTGAACACATCTTTCTTCACATCTTTCTGTAGTTTTCTGATAATAAAAGTAAATTTTATTTTTCTCAGAGTAACTTAGTCATTTCTTATGGTATACTAAATTAGTATAGTAAGTATGATAAGTGTACATGTTTATTTCCCATTTTAGATTAGCAACTTGTGAAGTTCAACAACTTTTAGAATTAGCTTTGTGAATCTTTTATAATTGTTTTAGGCATGAATGTTTTGAATTTTGCTAGAATTTGTGGCACGAAGTTTAATTTAATTTTAAATGTTATTTAAAGTATGAGTTTACCTCTGTTTGCGCCAGTTTCGCTCTGTCGACCTTTTGTGCATCCGCGCATACGCTGAGCCTTGGCACCGCCAGTTGTTGGGCAGCCTTTTCTTTTTCCTTTGCTTCTTTGTCTACAATGAACATTTATTTTTTTTTAATAAATGAATATAATGTATAAGCGAATATTTTACAAATGAACAATTTCTCTAACAATGAATATTTAAAAAATTGTGAAGTGATAAACGTACTGCTGCAATCTTGCGAGCTGGCCCAACGTTTCCGATCCTCGCTCTGCAACGTGTTTCCGCTCTTTCGAATACTTCTTCCCCATCCGGTGGTGATGGTGCTCAGCCTCGAGAATGCTCGTTTCACCATGGGCGACGAGGGCACGCTTTTGGGTCTAAACAAGTCAGAGCCAGTATCTCACAGAAACCGCAAAGCGGCACCTCGGGGTACGGAGAGGGAGTTCTTTCAGGATTCACGAGGGACGTCTTTCGATTTCGTTTTCCTTCAAATATATTGTTAAAAATCTTCCTACTAAATATTTGTCTTTAATCGTTATTAATATTCATTACTTGAGATATTTAATATTTAATTTTTTCTACTAAAGAAGTATTAGATAATTAATTTTAAAGTTTTTATAGCGACTAAGGGGTCTGAGTCACAGGTGGTGCAAATCATTTTATTGTCAGTTCAAATCCCCTTATGACAAATATTTTTTTTTCTTGCTTTTATTAATTATTTCATTTTTCTCTGAGTATATTTATATATCTCTATATATTTTTTCTTATTTTTAATCTCTGTATATATTTTCTTATTTGTAATCTTATTATTATGTAGCTTCTGAGCTGTTTTCTATTTTATACTTGTTTATTCAATTTCTTGTCTCATATGTTTATTTAGTTGTTGAATTAAGTGTTTCGTGTCTAATTTGTTTCTTACATTAATTGTTTATTAATGTTTCTTATATTAATTCTTATATGAATTGTTTCTTATATTAATTCTTATATGAATTGTTTCTTATATTAATTCTTATACGAATTGTTTCTTATATTAATTCTCATATGAACTGTTTCTTATATTAATTTAATTGAACAGTCTTCACTGAAATGTAAAAAATACCATTACAACCATATTTTTTTACAACAGTATTTTTACGATTCACATGTTCCATTAGTTGCAGTTTTATGAAGTATTTTACGACATATTGCACATGCGATATTCTCATCCATATGTGCGATGTGTCCCATAAAAGTTCTCCAGTTAAATTTTCCTCTCTCAGAATATAAAAGTACATATTAACAAAATATTTAAAGGATACCAAAATCGAAGAATAACAGTCCCTCAAGACAGGTGAGAAAGGAAGAAAGGGGTAGGTTCAGGACGAATCAGGTAAAAATTTGCAATTTTTCAACGTGATCAAAAAAGACGAATATACGGGACAACGACGAAAGCTCGACCGGCGAAAATCTTGAAAACGTGCGTGCGATAGAGAAAAAATCCAGAGCTTGCGTTCCGCAAATCCACTCCTCGACTTCGTTTCGATCGTACACGAATGTTACTTGCATGCCAGATTCGAATCTTTTTGAACGAAGAGAGAGACAGAACATTTCGTGTAATAGAAACGTTACGTGTTCGAGAAAATTGGTCGAGAGAACCGGTGGCAAGGCATTACAGAGCACGACGATAGAGTAATAGAGATTAAAAAATAAAAAAAATATAGGATAGAGATCATCGCATTTTACAAACGTATCACGATAGATAACAATCCGAACGTAATTCTGATCGGTGAACCATAATCATGCGGTGCTGTGTGTGTCCGTGTACGTGTATGTGAGGATAGGAGACATGGAAGTGCCGTAAAAAATACACATAATTACGATTAAATATGTATATATACAATATAGAGATGTACATTCGACAACGACATCAAAGGCGAATTCAAATCTCACCTAACTCGTGTTCCAATTTTCTTATTTCGCTAAATCTAGAGAGTGAATTTTGTTACTTTTCTTTTTATTCTTAACCCATTTCTGACCTGATTAATAGAAAATATTAGGGTAACTGATTAGTATCAGTTTTTGAGTATCTGGGAAATATTACAGGGGTTGTACAGAAGGGAGATGATATCAAAAGGAGTTTTAGATTGAAAATAAACGTGATCGTGTCAAATTCAATCTACATTTTCAAATACCCAAATTTCCAAAACCCCTAAATCCTCAAATCCTTGGATCCTCAAATGTCTAGATCTCTAAAACCTTAGATCCTAAAATTGCTACATTTTGAAATCCCTAGATCCTCAAATCCTTAGATCCCCAAAAAATCCATAGATGTCAAAAAACTTCCTAGACCTCAAAATCTCTAGATCCCAAAAATCCCTCGACCCCCAAAAATTCTTTAGATTCAAAAAATCCTTAGATGCCAAAAGTCCCTAGATCCCAAAAAATCCTTAGATCCCAATAATCCCAACATCCCAAAATCCTTAGATCCTAAAAAATTTTTAGATCCCAAAAAATTCCCGGATCCTAAAAAATCCTTAGATCCCAAAAAATTCCCGGATCCTAAAAAATACCTAAATCCTGAAATCCGTATATTACCAAATTCCTAAATTCCCCAGCTTGCAAAATATCTAAATTTACTCCCAATCGTGCTACCACGATCAACCCCTCGTTATATTGCCGCAATCAAAATTGCAGGAGAATAAACAACTTTCGGAAAATTTTACATCTGTCATTACAATATTTTTACATACATTATTATATTAATATATCATAATGTTACTCTAGATTAAAATATGCCAAACAAATTACACATCAAATACTACAACAAAACATAACAAATACTACAATCTGATTACTGTGGAATTACACCAGAAGAAAACATATATAATAGAAGAAATGAACGGAAGGAACTGAATAATTGATATTCATAATTGGCCAAAAATGGGTTAATAAGTATGTACGCAGTCGTACTTGATCGCTAAGCGATTTATGCGAATAAGCAAGTCTTCAGAATCGAATTTCAGACTGGACTGCTGACAATCATAGTGCACAATTCTGTCGAGAGAAATAATTAACAGGATACGAACCTTGGACTCTCCATGTCAGGAACTTGAAGGAAGTTCGAACTTCTTGGCTTTTTGGGACTCAACAGAGCTGGCGCTGGCCTTGCAAGCAATTCTGCGACTGGTACTTGAGGACTTCCGAAACCTGTTTGGATTCCGTACAGCATTTCTTGGAACACTCTAAATTGTGCAGACAAATTGAAGGAGTCATTAACTTTCATTATTAAAAATATTTATGATAACATAGCAATATTTTCATACATAAATAGCTTGCTACTTAACTTTCATGTGCAAGTTATTCAATAGGTCTCTTGTTATTTGCAGTTACAACTGTTTTGGAATTGTCTTTTGGAAATATTACAAATTTGTAATAAAATTTGTGGGTTTAATATTTAATGTATTTAATGTATTTGATGTATCTCATTTATTTAATATATTTAATATGTTAGACATATTTGATATAATTGATACATATATATATATTTTTTTTATTAATTCTTGATAGATCAATATCACTTGTATATTATTAGTCTCACTTGTAAGAATTCGACAATGCTTCTAATTTTTAATCTTCCAAAATTTAAGAAATGTCACACAGCAAAAAATTGAACAAATGTATGAGCCATCACATTATTCTTCAAATTCATTAATGTCTACATACATGTATGTACAATTAATTAAATGAACAGTCACCTGCTTCTGACAGCAAGAATCGCTCTGACACCCGTGAATCGAACTTTCTGCTTCTTCTGCCCAGGTACTAGGAAAGAAACGTCGAACAGATTCGCGTTCAGAGCAGTATTTTCTTGGTTATTCAAGAATACTTTGGTAAAGTCTTTGGCTAGTTGATCGTAGTCCTCGAACTGATCTCTCACGGAATCCAAAAGTGGCGAGGATGGTCTCATGTGACCGATTGGCCTCCAGGAACCACGCCTAAAACATTCATTCAATTATTATCCCCATTAACTTCAAGTTCACTTATCATTTTTTAATTTCGAGTTTAGTCATCATTTTTTTAGCTTCAATTTTAGTTATCGATTATTAATTACAATTTTAGTTATCGTTCTTTTCAGTTCAAGTTTAGTTATTATTTTTTAACTTCAATTTTGACAGCCAATAATAAAATATTACCTGTATGGTTTTGGTATCTGTCCAGTCTCAGCATGATTGGCCAAATTAGCAACAATGTCCTCCAGCATCTGAGTTCTCGTTCTTTCTTGCATTTTTGCGAATTTCGGCGCTGAATAACTTGCCCTCTCTCCATTAACTATTTTCGTTAAGATCCATTCACGAAACATAGGACCTGTCATATTTTAATAAACAATTAATGGTTATTTAAGAAAAATATTAAACAAATCAATTTTTCTTTTTATTGTATTTTCTTATAATGTGTATTACCTTTTTTGAAGACATTCTGCTCCCAAAGATAAGGTTTGTAGGCTCCAACTTCGTCTCTCGTCACCACAGACACCTCGTATCTAGTTACTTTTCTTTTTATTCGCGGACTAACTCGCACTAGGATGAATGTGTGCAAAAAATGCGATTTTATACAAGCTGGATTGAAAGCTGTGTTGTCAGCTTCCAGAAACACCACGCACACTATGTCGTTGCCAATGTGTCTCTTCCTTTGCAGCTGCAAAACATTTTCATTGATTAATATTCAAATGATGATAATTCAAAAAATTCATTAAAATTCAAATCACAAAAATTTGGGATAACTCGTTAAAATTCTAATGACAAAAATTTTAAAGAATTCATTAAAATTCATAATGGTAGCTTTGGTTTGTTTTGATGAAAATAAGCAAATTATTGATAATAAATTGTTATAAATATCTCATGCTATTCATTTGAACTACTTAACAAGCTAATTAATTATTTTTCCAGTTTGCCATAATTAACTGCATTTTTCCAGTTTGCCAAAATTAATTGTACTTTCTCAGCTTGCCATAATAAATTGTATCAGTGCACCATAATTAACTTACTTTTTCAATCTCCCATAATTAATTACATTTTTCCATTTCCCCATAATTAATTGCATTCATCCACTTCGCCATAATTAACTTATTTTCTCAATCTCCCATAATTGTATTTTTCCAATTTTCCACATTTAATTCCAATTATCCAATTTGCCATGATTTTATCACATCACCATAACTAACAGTAATTTTCAAGATTGCCATAATTAATTTACCTTTTGCGCGTCATGTTTCTCGTAAGGAAGCAACGTGGAGACATGGAACATGATCTCGATGCCACGCCAATTGGTGTAAACCGAGTACAAACCGGTTAAATCGTGAATGGTGTCCAAACCACCCTTGTACTTATCGAATCCCTTCAATCGAACTTTATCACCGAGGATTTGCAAGAATTCTTCGAACAACGGCGAATTCTCGTTGTTATCTAATATCTCCTCCTCCGTCCGTTGGCCCTCTTTTACGTAAATCACACCAACTTTCAGTTCGGATTTTATGAACACCTGATCCAATTTGAGCAACTCGTCTTGGGTGTCTGGTAGTTGGCCCAACGTTAAGGGTGGATTTACATTTACCTCTTTCCCCAGGCTACGTACTACCTCTTCGCGATTGTACCTGAAAAGTGAACAATAAATTAATTCGATTAGTTTATGAACACTGAACTTACTTACAATCATTTGTTTAAGAAGAATTAATACATTAATGAATTTATTGAATTTATTAATAGTTAATGTGATAATTGAATGATTTACTAACTTTATAATTTAACAATTTAAAAAGGTATTTTGTTAAAAGTGATTATTTAAAATCATTTGTTTAAAAAGAATTAACAGATGAATGAAATTAAGTCAATACACTAATAATTAATTTGATAATTGTATAATTAAAAAGCTTCATAGTTTAACAATTTAAAAAAATTATTTTGTTGAAGGTTAATTTGGTGATGGATCAGATTTATCAACACTGACCTGATTATTTAAAATCATTTATTTAAGAAGAATTAACAGATTAATGAAATTAAGTCAATACACTCATAATTAATTTGATAATTGTATAATTAAAGAGCTTCATAATTTAACAATTTAAAAAAATTATTTTGTTGAAGGTTAATTTGCTAATGGATCAGATTTATCAACACTGACCTGATTATTTAAAATCATTTGTTTAAGAAGAATTAACAAATGAATGAAATTAATTCAATACACTAATAATTAATTTAATAATTGAATAATTATAAAACTTGAACATTTTACAATTCAACAAAATTATTTTGTGGAAGGTTAATTTGATGATGAATTAGATTTATCAACACTGAACTGATTATTTAATTTCACTTATTTAAGAAGAATTAATAAATACATAAAATTAATTCAGTGCCTCAATAATTAATTATAATTCATCTAATAATTGAATAAGTTAAAAACTTGAAAATTTGACAATTCAAGAAAATTATTTTAATTTTAATTTTTCGACAAGAATTACTAATTTATTAAATATAATTCAGTGCATTGATAATTAATTGGAAAACTTGATAATTTAACAATTTAAAAATTAAAAGATATGACAAATAATAAACTTGAAAAAGGTATAAAATTATAAGAATTCAAAGAGCGAAAATGTAATAACTAAAAATAATTTTTAATTCAAAAATTTGACACCTAAATTTTTTAGTCCAAAAATCATCCCTAAAAAAAAAATAAAAAACCTAAAGTTCATAAAATACCTGTCAGCAAAAACGCAGCTAGCAGGAATGAGCCCATGAACCGTGTAACTGATAGCCCTGACGAGTATCCTGAACTGATCCCGTCCGTTCAGCGTCTCCTGTTTGATGCTGAGTATCACCGGTCCCAGATCCTCGTCCTTCGTGAAATAGTTCCAGTGTTCAGTTCCGTAGAAGTATTTCTCGTAGGTTTCTTGTTCGACAGACGTGAGCTCGAATCCTTGGTTCTTCTCCCATTGTTCCTCGATGGTAGTTTTCTTTCTCGGTAACTCGTCAGTGTCCGATTCGTGTTGATCCTCTGCCAATTCCGTGTCCGTCGCGTCTCCGCTCTCGCTTTCGTCCCAAATTGTGTCGGTGGTGATCTGCTGTCTCGAACACTCGATCCAGTAGCCGGGTGTGGGCACCAGGTTGTGTGGGAATTCGTTACAAAACTCGTCTGCAAGGAAAATTCACAAACCGTCAATTTTTTGGTCCACTCAGATGTGGATGTCGATTTTTACTTAAATTAGCAGTTTAATTTCATTTTGGTTTTTATGTGGGTTATTTCATTTTTATTTTAGGTACATTACTAACCTAACCTTTTACTTATAAAAGGTTAATAAAATTTTTACTTATATTTCTAATATATCCTTGACTTTCATTTATGTAGTCTTCAATTTTTATATTAATGGATGCAAGGTAAATTGCAAGGTAATTTTGAATTATGTGAGCTGTGAGGTTCGAGGTATGACATTTTTATAGGTTTACAATTTGAAGTAGATCTAAGTTAATATTCCAGTATTTTATTATTTATTACTTTACTATTTACTGTAACAAAATTCCCCAAATTGAGTCAGATCCTAAATCAGATAGGATCCTAATTTGAACAAGGTCTTAGATTAACCCTAACTTGGACCTAATTAACCCTTAAACCAAATAGTAAGACAGTAAAATAGTAAACCCTAAAATACTAAAATACTAAAATCTCAAATAGCAAAATAGTAAAATACTAAAATACTAAAACAGTAAAAATACTTACACAAATAAATTACAACATACACATTAAATACAAATATAAATAAATTACAATTTTTCACAGACATCGTTCAACATGTACAAAAGTCAACGAAACTTAAAATACACTTATTCTATTATAATATCTATAATATCAGTGATTATCCTATTATACAATTTGATCATTTAATTAAAGAAAAGAACCACGTTGAATCCAGCATAGCATCAGGATTGACGTTGGATTTTTCTTTTATCTTGCAACACGACTCTTCGTCTACTTAGTCACGTACCGTCGATAATGCGTTCTTCCACCATCTCGCCTCCATTCTATCCTTCTTAGCACAATCGTCCTAACATTACGTAATATCTGAGAGAAAATGAACTTTTATCATCTCCGTTGCGGTGTTCCTATGTTTCTTCCTTTAATTACAAATATTTCGCTTGCAAAGTTACAATGTGATTCGACTTAAACAATAATTTTTCTTCATTTTCTAAAAAATATTTTCAGTGTAACATATTGTGAGGTACATGCATCTCTTTTAAAAATTCTCAAGCTTCCTAAGCTTTTAGATTTCTAAATTTGCATAACATCAAATCTATTGGTTTTTAAATTTTTTAATTTCAAAATTTGTAAATTACCTCATTTCTGAATGTAGAAATTTTCAATTCTCACATTCACATATCTTAATTTTTAAATTTTTTAATATCGAAAATTCCAAAATCTACAATTTCCCAAATCCCTAAATCTCTGAATCTATAAATATTCAAATCTCCAAATTTTTAAATACCCAAATCTTCAAATATCCCAAATCATCATTTTCAAGAGTCTCCCACTTCCTAGACTCTCAAATCCCTAGATCCCAAGAACCCCTGGATCCCAAGGATCCCTGGATTCCAAGGATCCCTGGATCCCAAGGATCCCTAGATCCCAAGGATCCCTAGATCCCAAGGATCCCTAGATCCCAAGGATCCCTAGATCCCAAGGATCCCTAGATCCCAAGGATGCCTAGATCCCAAGGATCCCTAGATCCCAAGGATCCCTAGATCCCAAGGATCCCTAGATCCCAAGGATCCCTAGATCCCAAGGATCCCTAGATCCCAAGGATCCCTAGATCCCAAGGATCCCTAGATCCCAAGGATCCCTAGATCCCAAGGATCCCTAGATCCCAAGGATCCCTAGATCCCAAGGATCCCTAGATCCCAAGGATCCCTAGATCCCAAGGATCCCTAGATCCCAAGGATCCCTAGATCCCAAGGATCCCTAGATCCCAAGGATCCCCTAGATAAGGATCCCTAGATCCCAAGGATCCCTAGATCCCAAGGATCCCTAGATCCCAAGGATCCCTAGATCCCAAGGATCCCTAGATCCCAAGGATCCCTAGATCCCAAGGATCCCTAGATCCCAAGGATCCCTAGATCCCAAGGATCCCTAGATCCCAAGGATCCCTAGATCCCAAGAATCCCAAGATTCCCAAATTCCCTAGATCCCAACTTTCCCAAGTCCCCAAATTCCCTAATCTCCAAATCACCAAATCTCCAAAACTTGAAATCCCCAAATAACCCAATCTCCAAATCTCCAAATCCCCAAATCTCGAAAACTTGAAATCCCCAAATTCTCCAATCTCCAAATCCTCAAATTCCCTAATCTCCAATTCTCCAAATCTCCAAATCTTGAAATCTCCAAATATCAAAGTCCTTAAATTCCCAAATTTCCACCAACCTTCACCTTACATTTACCTGCATCGTTACCTTCATCAATCAAACGCATCCACACGAGATTCTTCTAACCACGAAGAGCAGTATCGATGTCTGATCGATCCCTCGTTGGTATTTCTCTCATTCCTCGACGATACCGCGGTCGATTCACTGTAAGGTAAGAACACCAAACTGTTTATAGACAGGCCTGGTATTCGAACTTAAAGTGAACCGTCCGCGGTGCATCCTCGACATCTTTCCATCCCTCTAATCTCGGCTTTCTCCTGTCTGAACTAATGGCCTGTAGTGCTTCGTAAATTCGATCGTCGATACGACAGCTTGCTTCTCCATCTTGCCACTTCTTCCTCCGTCTCTCAGCCATGCGATAAAATAATGATCCTCCGGGAAGATCCTTCCCCGAACGACCCTACTCCTTCTTTTCTCACACGAATCATCGATATCCTCTCTTTTTATGAATCGAATTCATGAATTTTTTTGACGGGTGCTTTATCGGTGTTTCATCGAAATCTTTCTTACTTTTTTGCTATATTTTTTCTTATTGTAATCTTGCTAGTTTACGTTAATTTTTTTTATTCTTGTGTTTATTTTAATTTTATTTTGTTTCAAACAATTTTATTTTTATAGGCAAACAGTGTTGTTACTGAAATATTCTTAACATACAACTTAGACAATTTTATTCTGTTTTTACTCTTTAAGGCATTTACTCTTTCTTTCTACTAAAAATTTAGAAATTAAAATTTTGTTCAAATATTTTACTGACTAATACTAATACACCTCTGAGGTTATTTGTATAAATTAATATTTGTGACTATTTATTGAGTAAATGATGCAAATAACTATGATGGAAAATTATTAGAGGAAATGTTTGAAAAGTTAAAGTGGTTCGAAGATTTTGAGAAAGGCTTGAGATTAATTTTAATGGCGTTCAGATTTAATTCGCGACAGGGAATTTCGATTGGAAAGTGCAGACGTGGCTGAATGTAAAGGCGCATAATCCAAGACAGGAAGAACCACCTGTAGCTCGGACTCATACATATGTACGCTTGTAAAAGTTCGCGACCCGAGTCTCTTTCCTTCCGGCAGCAACGACGCGTCGAGTCTCAAAGGAATTGCGACCACTCGAGCAAGAAACGGTGTCGTGCACTGTGTACCCATTTTAAATTGAAATCGATTTCTTTGCTCGTAATTACGCCGATGAAACACCACTGTCACACTAATGAATCCACCTTTTAACATATTAAAACGCAATCATACTTTTTTATATTTCGTACTTAAACTTTTACCAAAATATTTTTTGGTTAAGTTACGTATATAACGGTATCTTCAATTTTTGTAATTATTTTGATCTTGAATATTTGAAAAATAATTTCTCTCTTTTAATGTACTTAAAATGATAAAATAATTAATTAAATGATAAAATGTATTATTTAACATTTTTTTTTATAGAAATACATTTTAGGTTACACATATCATTGTATCTTTCAGTATATTCAATTCAAGAATATATTATTTAACATTTTTTTACAGAAATACATTTTTAGTTACACATATCATTGTATCTCCTCAGTATATTCAATTCAAGAATATATCATTTAACATTTTTGTATAGAAATACATTTTTAGTTACACATATCAGTGTATCTCTTCAGTATGTTCAATCTTATGATCAAGTTTTGTTTTAATTAAAACTGTTAATTAAATTAAATTATCTTAAGGTAATTGAGTTGGAGCTCTGTTAGCTAAGGAAAATTGTGAGATTAGTTGAACTAATGTTAGCACTGATCATACCGGTGTACAATGCACACATATTTTAAAATTAAAAATAAACGAACGAACCGTAAAACGTAATTGAATATATAGATTAATTTTTTACCTACTTAAAAGTCAACCTTGACTTCAGGAGAAACATCTCAACAAATTTTGTGAATTGAAATGAGAAATTTGGTAGTGATCAAATGACTGTTTTGGTATTTTTTATGTCAAGATACATTTATTTTATTTTTGTGGTGATTTTTAAAATTGTTAAAATTATTAAAATTGTCAAAATTGTCAAAATCACTCAAACTTGTTAAAATAGTCAAAATAGTCAAAATAGTCAAAATTATTCAAACTTGTTAAAATTGTCAAAATTGTCAAAATTATTCAAACTTGTTAAAATTGTTAAAATAGTCAAAATTGTCAAAATTATTCAAACTTGTTAAAATTGTCAAAGTAGTCAAAATTATTAAAATTGTCAAACTTGTTAAAATTATTAAAAATTATTGAATACACCAGTCTGACACTTTCAATACTAAAATGTATTAATTTCGTTATTGTATTAATTTTAATTACTCGTCATTTGATCAGTTACGTACAGATAAAATTAATAAATGCTTCACTAAAAATGTTATTCGAATAACAAATGATTTTACCTGAACATGCTTGCGGTGGCAAAGGAAAGATCAAGGTGGTCGATGATTTTCTTCGGGCAACTGCGCAGCCTAAACTTTGTGGTTTGAAGCTGCGCAACTGCTGCATGAAGTCCGAGCACTCCATCAGCGCCACGTCAGCGAAGTGAAGATCGCAAAGTATTTGGTTTTTGAATCTGTGAAAAGACCACTCAAATAATTGATGATCAAACTCTAAGTGTATACTCATCAACGGTGATAGAAAATTTTGATTAATAGTATGAGTTTCCTCTTTCAATTTAATTAAAATTTAATTTTCCACGTTTGGTCATGGTTCAATATTTCTGAGATGTAGTTGCAGTGGACACATATTGTAGACTTACCGTCTAGCCCGTTTTTGATTGGGTCCCGTGAGATTCAGGCCGCAGCTGTTACATTTTAGGCATTCTTCATGGTAGTGATTGTTGTCGTACAGTGGCGATGGTTCTTGAAACAATAAACAAATGCGAAAACATCGATTAAAAATTAGAATATTGTTGTGCAAAGTAGAAGTTGTACCCAAAAAGTTGTATCACAAAATTAAGTTGACTAATGCAACTTAGACCGCAGTACAATTAAATCAATTAATTGTGGTTACATTATAAAGATGTAAAATTAAATCTTTTAATTCTGCTTACACTGTAGAGACATATAATTAAATCAATTAATCCAGTTTATAAAGACGCTCAGCAAATATTATGATTAACCCTCTGCAGTCCAGTGTTGTCACATGACAACATCAAAAATTAAAAAACATGGCAATATTAAAAAATTACGATACAATATATATAATTATATCTGTCTTAATATTACACCAGAATGTTATAAATACAATAAATATTTTACACCTCCACGAAAGTAACATTATCAAAACTTGCCATACTTCTATACTTTTTATATTCCCATAAAAACAACCTTAATTTCATCGATTAAAAATAGTCTCACCCCCCGTTTCCGCAATCCTAATCCATCGAACGTAAACATCGAAAAAATTGCAAGAAGCTGAAACTGGGTTAAATGTAGCATCGCGTCCTCGACACGTTGGTCAGAAAAAACGAATAAAAGCCATGAACATATTCGCAGTGTAGGTAAAAAAGAAACCAAGAAATCAACCCCGATCGAGCGTGCGAGCCATCGATCAATTTCGAGATACAACGTTAGACCATAGTCGAAGCATCCTGGAAGTTCGATCGTTCTCTTTTCTCCTTTTTTTTTCTTCTTCTTCTTCGCGTCCCCGATCCCATTTTCCCTCCTCTGTTTTCCGTGTTTTATACTTAACGACCCTTCGAGCGTGTCGTCGAGGGGTGTGGTCGATCCTGTCCCTCTTTCTCGCCCCTATGGGGGCCACAAAGAATTCCAGCGCGTGCCGAGCATGGAATTTTGATATCGCGAACAGAGTAGTCAGCCGTCGCGACGTCGCGACGCGTTTTCGTGACCGACGGAACGTCTAATTGTACCCCCGGGTTTCTTCGTTCCGAATACTCTGCCACGTGTACCGCTATGGAATTTCTATGGGACCTCTTTCGTATTCATACTTTTAGAATATTTATTCAAACATTGCGTTCTGTGATCCTGCGTTCTTTATTAAAACGTTTATTAACGGGGGTATGTTTTATTTATGTAAATTCTTATTTCAAGTGACACCTCCAATAAGAAGTCTTATCTTCATAAATTTTATTGAACGAGACATGATGATGAAGAATCAATTTTTGTATCCATCAATTTTGATCTGCAGGGAGTTTTTATTTTATATGAAATAGTAAAATATTGGAATGACAGAATGACATACAGAAAAATCATTAAAACAATCAGCTAATAAAATATAAAATAACAAACCCCTAAAACAGTGAAGTAATAAAATTCTCAATTCTCCAAAACCTTAAAAAGTCACCTCTTGACAAATATAAAAATTATCCAAAATAAAAGTATAATCACCAAATAAAAATGAAGAGTCTTCCGCCATTTTCCGCGGGGACCAGAACGCTGTACAATGAACCGTCCAAGAAAAAAGAAAGAAAGAGCAAGCTTCGAAGCACCGATATCAGTTCGCCCAGCAGACAACTGTTATCGCGATTCCGATACCTCGTGTAATTCCCCTTAGTTTTTTTCTCCTTGCCGTTCGTTAAGAACATTTTTCACGGGTTATGGTTCCCAGTGGCTGTAACGGGATAACTTTCGTTATTTATTTGCCGCGAAGAGCTCGTGGCAATATCCACGGCGAAGGAAGTTACGATTATTTTCTGGCGTGCTTTGTGTCGCCTCCATTTGAACGGGAACGCTTTAAAAGTTGCAAGCACCGGCTCGGGACGATAAACCGTATCTTCCTTTCCCTTTTCCTTCTGGGCTTGAACAAGGGCGAATGTCAAGTTTGGAATGGTGGGTCAGATTTTATGCGAAAGAATTTATTCTTTTGAAAGTTTTGTTATTAGAGCTATTTAACTCATCTAAATTAAGGTACTACCTTCTTATGTTCGTAGATATTAAAATTCATGGAGAGTAACATTTCTGAATATGTACATTTGTTAATAATTCAGGAATGAAGGTTTAAAAATCGCTTTTGAAAAGGAAAAAATTGTTCAGAGTCACTAAGTTACCAACCAATCTTCAGAGTAATAACACTTTAGGGAGATACACTAGTTGTGAGGCATTCTGTAAATTTCAATTTCTGTATCAATACATTCATTTATTTTTGAACTTCTATCTTCATATATACATAAATTCACAAATCTGCTCATTTCTAAAGACTTTTACCTTCACTACTATGTATCCGTAATTCCCTACAGTCTTGTATTCCTATATCCCCATATACGTACCTATAACCCCATATTCCTACATACTCATATCCTTATACCCAGTACCCCTATATTTTCGTATACTTATACATACATGTATACATACATATAGCTATATTCCCATATCCTCATATTCCTGTATCCACATACTCCTATATCCTCACATTCTTGTATCCACATGTCCCATATCCCTATGTCCCCTACCTCTATATTCTGTACCCATATATCCTCTATCCATGTATCTCAATATCTCTATATCCTCACATCTCTCTACATGTATTCCTATATCTCCATATGTCCTACTACTGTATCCTCTATCCCTATATTCTCCATCTCTATATCTCCTATTACTACATCCCCTATCCCTATATGCCCTATACTTATATCCCCATATCCCTATGTTCCTGCACTCCTATATCCCCTGTCACTATATTTCAAATCCCTAAATTCCTAAATCCCAAATCCCTATACCCAGTTCCCAAATCCCAAAAATCTCAAAATTTCCAAATCCCAAGATTCCTAAATCCCAAGATTCCCAAATTCCAAGGTTCCCAAATTCCAAGATCCCCAAATTCCAAGATTCCCAAATCCCAAGATTCCTAAATCCCAAGATTTCTAAATCCCAAGATTCCCAAATTCCAAGATTCCCAAATCCCAAGATTCCCAAATCCCAAGATTCCCAAATCCCAAAATTCCCAGATCCCCAAATCCCTAAATTCTCGAACCCCTAAATCCCAAAACCCCCATATCCCTATATTCCCAAATTCCAATATCCCCAAATCCCAAAATTCCCAAATCCCAAGGTTCCCAAATTCAAAATTCCCAAATCCCAAAATTCCCAAATCCCAAGATTCCCAAATCTCAAAATTCCCAAATCCCCAAATCCCTAAATTCTCGAACCCCTAAATCCCAAAACCCCCATATCCCTATATTCCCAAATTCCAATATCCCCAAATCCCAAAATTCCCAAATCCCAAGATTCCCAAATCTCAAAATTCCCAAATCCCCAAATCCCTAAATTCTCGAACCCCTAAATCCCAAAACCCCCATATCCCTATATTCCCAAATTCCAATATCCCCAAATCCCAAAATCCCAAAATCCCCAAATCCCTAAATTCTCAAATCCCTAAATCCCAAAACCCCCATATCCCTATATTCCCAAATTCCAATATCCCCAAATCCCAAAATCCCAAAATCCCCAAATCCCTAAATTCTCAAACCCCTAAATCCCAAAACCCCCATATCCCTATATTCCCAAATTCCAATATCCCCAAATCTCTATACCTCCAAATCCCTATATACCCTATCACCACATCCCCTATCCCTATATCCCCTATCCCCACATTCCTATTTCTCCCATTTCCATATCCCTATATCCCCACACCCCTATATCCCCATATCCCTAAATAACAATATAATTTTCCCCTGTTCCCTCCAGTAAACGTCAACATTCCTCAGTCCTCACCGCATTAATCTGAATGGAAACTCGTGTCCACAAGGTGTAAATGTTTACGGATTGAAGGTAATCGTATCAAAGGGTTTAGGTTAATCAGGTAAGACGGAAGAAAGGTGAGGACGGTCAGGACACAGAGGTTTGCGACGGTAATCGACGCCGATCGATCGATCGATCGAATCGAGTTGACGCGTTAGATAGGAATTAGTAATGAATGCGGCTGCGTTGCCGAGAATTAATGACGGAAGACAATCGGAGGGTAGACGGGCTTGAATCGAAACTAATGAAATTCCTGGAATCGCGGGACACTGGCGATTACGGCCACGTCCCGTTAAAATGATAATTATTTCTGAAGCACTTATTGCGCCCGGAATTCCTCGCACGCGATACGGACAAATAAAATATGGCGAATGGAAATTAGCTGATGAAGTCAATTACGACAGATTTATCGAGTGGATTCGGGGAAGAGTGTCGGTCTTGATTGGGTTTGCAATTTTCTTCGATGTATCGGTTTTTGTATTATTATTTGTGATGTGTTGACTGCTATTAAAATTGATAATTGTTGCATTGAATGATTGTACATATGTCTTGAATATATGTACATACATGTAATGTACTTATGTTTGTCTTAAATATATGTACATACATGTAATGTACTTAGATATGTAATAATAATGTGTAATAATATACATGATGAATGTACATGTGTGTCTTGAATATATAAAGTATATGTGTAGTCAGAAATTGAGGTTACATGTGTATTTGATAATTGAGTATATTTAAAGATTAAGGTTATGTATCTTCAAAAATTGAACATATGTACATTCTGATATACATATGTGCATATATGTTCAAACAAATTAAAAACTACAAAGAAAGATCTTTCTTAATTTTCGACAAATGTGATGCCATGCTGACAATGTAAAACATCAAACTGAGAATTTAAACCTAAAACTAAACTTGAGAAATGTATGTAATAACACAT